CTGTAGTGCAGGGAGCATGAGACATCATTTTCACACATTGATTGACCACAGAGTCCAGACTAGACATGTAAGCTGTGGAAAAATTTGGTTCGGTTATTTCATTATTTCATGATCCGGATCCGAAATAAAATTTGGTTTGGGTTTTGGATTCCGATAAAATACGAAGTTTTGTTAGTTTTGGATGAGCTTACGAATATTCGTTGCAAACACCACAGAAAACCATATACAGATATTAATACTAAAGCTGAATCTCCTAGACACGAATGCCATTCCGGATCCAAATTTCCGAATTGCATTTGGGAGCTCCTGAATGCCATTCGGGTCTGGGAGACATATACATATTTTACTACAGCTGAGGCTCCCAGACCCGAATGGCATTCGGGAGTTCCCAAATGCAATTCTGAAATTCCGATCCTGAATGTCATTCGGGTCTAAGAGCCTCAGCTGTAGTATTATATGTATATACTGTATATGGCTCCCATGTTGCCGTGACAAAAATTTCTTTTCAGTAGCATGTTCAGCCGACCCGAATCCACACGAAGCAGGCCGATGTACGGCAGATTTCAGCCGATGTACGGCTGAAATCAGCCGTACCAGCCTGAAGTGAATAGCCGAACAGTGTTCGGCTCACTTCACTTCTGATCGGTCATTCACTCGGCTGCCCTCGGCAGCATAGTGATTAGACCCCCATGTCTTTATAAGGCCTTGAAAAAGGTGGGCTGCAACCTGCCTAAATGATGGTGAAATAAAGCTACTTTTTAAAAATCTTCTCCATTGAGTACCTACTAAACCTTTACTACCGGTATTATATATATATTTCTTAGAATTGCGTTGCCCTAGGAAATGTGCATGGAAATGTGTGTGTGTGTGTATATACACTCACTGGCCTCTTTATTAGGTACACCTGTTTGACTGCTCGTTAACGTAAATATATAATGATCTAATCACATGGCAGCAACTCAATGCATTTAGATATGTAGACATGGTCAAGACGATCTGCTGAAGTTTAAATCAAGCCTTCAAGCCTCCAAGACTTTGAACGTGGCATGGTTGTTGGTGCCAGGCGGGCTGGTCTAAGTATTTCAGAAACTGCTGATTTTCTGGGGCTTACAGAGAATCTTTAGGGCTTACAGAGAATGGTTTAAACATTTCCACACCGTGACAATTCCCTGGGCAAAAATGCCTTGTTGATGCCAAAGGACAGGAATGAATGGCCAGACTGGTTCAAGCTGATAAAAAGAAAACAGTAACTCAAATAACCACTCGTTACAACCAAGGTCTAGAGAAGAGCATCTCTAAACTCAAAATAATGTCCAACCTTGAAGTAGAATCTTGAAGCAGCAGAAGACCACGCCAGGTGCCATTCTTGTCAACCAAGAACATGAGTTCATTTTATCAAGTGACTGGCGGAAAGCTACGGTAGTACCAATTTTCAAAAAAAGGTTCAAGATGCCAACCTGGGAACTACACACCAGTCAGTCTAACATCAATAGTATGCAAACTGTTAGAGGGAATGATAAAGGACTATTTAGTGGATTTTGTTTGTGACAATGGTATAATAGATGATCATCAACATGGATTTAGGAAGGACAGTTCTTGTCAGACCAACCTACTAACATTCTATGAAGAGGTGAGTAAAGATCTTGGATGGAGGGAGGCTGGTGGATGTGGTATATCTGGATTTTTCCAAAGCTTTTGACACGGTACCACATACACACTTAATACACAAGCCGAGATCAATGGGCATAGATGGAATGGTGTGTACATGGATAGAGAACTGGCTACAGGAACGTGTCCAGAGAGTATTGATAAATGGCTCTTTTTCAGATTGGTCTAAGGTCGAGAGTGGCGTGCTCCAGGGTTCTGTGCTAGGCCCCATACTGTTTAACCTGTTTATTAATGATACTGGGGAGGGTGTTAATAGTCATATTTCTGTGTTTGCTGATGATACTAAAATTGAGAGGATAATAGACATGGACTTAGACACTATAATACTACAGGAGGACCTGGATAAAATAGGGGAGTGGGCAACTATATGGCAGATGAGGTTTAATGTTGATAAATGTAAAGTAATGCATTTTGGGGTTAAAAACAGGCAAAGGGAATACAAATTAATGGGTACTCCACTAGGGAAGTCAGAAATGGAAAAGGATCTGGGGGTCATAGTAGACCACAGATTGAATAATAGCTTGCAATGCCAGGCTGCTGCAAATAAAGCAAGCAGGGTACTGTCATGTATTAAAAAGGGAATGTACTGTAGAGACAAGGCAATAATTATGCCACTTTATAGATCACTGGTTCGGCCTCATCTGGAGTATGCGGTCCAGTTTTGGTCACCAATCCACAAAAAAGGTGTCCTTGAGCTGGAGAGAGACCAGAGAAGGGAAACTAAACTAATTAAGGGACTGGAGGACCAATGCTATGAGGCAAGGTTGCTAAATTTAAATGTTCACGCTAGATGAGAGGCTGTCCGTTTTGTAGGGCGTTTTCCATTTGGATACTGCCAAGTATCCTTTGGAATCGCGCGACGGTCACGCGACTTTTTTACCGCGAATCGCGGTAAAAAAACGCGTGACGGTCGCGCGACAGACGCGCATATTACAATACGCATAGGTGTGAATGGGGCCTTAGAGCGGACATGGTTTTGATGTACGAAATGTTTAGTTGTGATAGCAACATCAGCAATAAACTTTTTACTGTAAACTCCATAACAAAGACTAGAGGCCACCACCTAAAACTGGTGGAGAAAATATTTACCCACAAGGGGCGTAGGGGGCTTTTTTTCAGTTAGAGTGGTTAAAGTCTGGAACTCTCTGCCACAAGCAGTAGTATCAGCTGAGACTATTGAATCATTCAAAAAGCATTTAGATACCTTCCTCAGAGACCATAACATACAAGGGTACAGGTACTCCTAAAAACAAGATCACACAGTGACTCGTATACATACATAGACATGCACAATCAGACACATACACACAAAGGTTGAACTTGATGGACCTGTGTATTTATTCAACCTCAAATACTATGTAACTATGTAACAGGAAACTGAGGCTACAATTCACAAGGGCTCACAAAAATTGGACACTAGTAGATTGGAATAAAAAGTTGCCTGGTCTGATAAGTCGCGTTTTCTGCTGTGACATTTGTATAGTTAGATCAGAATTTGGTGTAAACAACATGAAAGCATGGATCCATCCTGCCTTGTACCAATGAGTCAGGCTGGTGGTTGTGTAATGGTGTGGGGGATATTTTCTTGTCACACTTTGGACACCTAAGTACCAATTGAGCATTGCTTAAATGCAACCACAGTGTGCCCATCTTCTGATGGCTACCTCTAGCAGGATAACGCGCCATGTCACAAAGCTAAAATAATCTCAAACTGGTTTCCTGAACATGATAAAGAGTTCAATTAACTCAAATGGCCTCCGCAGTCACCAGACCTTAATTGGATAGAGCACCTTTGGGATGTGGTGGAACAGGAGATTCACATCATGGATGTGCAACCGACAAATCTGCAGCAACTGTGTGATCCTATCATGTCAACATGGACCAAACTCTCTTGTTGAATCTATGCCACAAAGAATTAGGGCAGTTCTGAAGGCAAAAGGGGGTCCAACCCGGTACTAGCAAGGCGTACCTAAAAAAGTGGCCAGTGGGTGTGTATATATATGTACTCTCTATCTGTCCCCAAAAAATGTTAACATATATTGCAAGGCTATAGTCAGATCATGCTGACTGGTGAAATTTTTGAATGACTGGTGAGACACCGCCAAATTTTTCAAGCCCTGTATATATATATATGTGTGTGTGTGTGTGTGTGTGTGGCTGTGTGTGTGTGGCTGTGTGTATTTATATAGATATATCTAGATAGATAGATAGATAGATGGATGGATGGATGGATGGATGGATGGATGGATGGATGGATAGATAGATAGATAGATAGATAGATAGATAGATAGATAGATAGATAGATAGATAGATAGATAGATAGATATAGTTCAAGGGGTACCCACCACACTCTGTAAGATAAATGCCCAGGTGCTCATCCAGAAACATATCCATACAAATCCATACAATAAAGTAGGTATAGAGGCACTCACAGGTCTTGCAGCAGAGATAAGTGGAAGCATTTTATTGACAATGTTTAAATGGAGCTCAGTCTATCTTTATCCAATAAACATGGAAGGAGCTCCATCAAAATATCGACAATAAAATTATGATGCTTTGACTGATCTCCGCTGCAAGACCCGTGAGTGCCTCTATTCCTGCTTTGGAAATGTGTGTGTGTATATATGTGCCTGTGTGTGTGTGTGTGTGTGTGTATATATTTCATAGGGATTGCTATTGCCCTAGGAAAAGTTGCATGCAAATGAGATGTGTGTATATATATATATTAATAAGAATTATACCTCCCTTGGAAAACTGCATGCAAAGAAATGTAGAGTAATGCAGATTATTGTGGCATGGTTTAATGCCTGTTCCTTGATCAGTCTGGAGGTCTCCTTTAAGCGTCAGGGTTTGTGCTGAGTGATGAGCCTTCTTTCTATAAGGTGCCACACTGTGCTTCCCATTCCCATCACACGATTACGTGCAATGAAGCAGCAAAGTAGTGTTTTTTTTGCTGGTAGTGTCTTTGCCTTTGTCAGCGGTCCTGCCCTGCGCATGAGTCAGTCCTCCAGACTGTGAAGGGAAGGTGTGCCACAACTGCTGCGCTCGGCTCCTTGGCTAGACCTGTATAGGGGAGAACGCTCAGTCATTGCTGTGTGACATTGGGATGCTCAGCACTCACCTGGAACCCTTGGACAGCAGCAGTCAGTCATCGGCATGGCTTCCCCGTCCTCAGGACCGCGGCGATCGTAGTTTCAGCACCTCGGACAGCAGCCTCATAGAGAACAGCGGTGGGGCGCGTCTGCTCCGACGCCAAGCTATGAGGCTACCAAGCGCAGCCAGCATGTAGGAAAGCCATCCTGGTCTCCATTCAACGAGGCAATCCCCGCTGATGGATATATGCTGAGAAATGCACTTGCCAGAGATTCTGCTGGCCCTTTTACTCATAGTCGTGTTCGTGGTGTCCCTGCTCGCCAATCTACTGGTGCTCATATGCTTTTTGTACAGTGCCGAGATCAGGAAGCAAGTGTCCGGCATCTTTCTGGTCAATCTGTCCCTGTGCAACCTCCTCCTAACTATCCTGAACATGCCCTCCACTTTCCTGGCCATGCTAAGTCACCAGCAGCCATTCGGCGACTGTCTGTGCCAGGCTCTGGGCTTCTTGGAAACTTTTCTGACTTCTAACACCATGCTCAGCATGGCAGCTCTCAGCATAGACAAATGGATCGCCGTGGTTTTCCCTTTGAGTTACACCAGCAAGATGAGGTACAAGGACGCTGTGATCATGATGGGGTACACCTGGCTGCACTCCCTCACCTTCCCCCTGGTTTCCTTGTTCCTCTCTTGGTTGGACTATAGCAGCATGTATGCCTCTTGTACCTTACATGTGCAGGAAGCTCCGGAGAAAAAACGCTTCATGGTGTTCACCATCGTGTTCCATGCTGCCAGTTTCGTGCTGTCTCTGGTCATTTTGTGCTTCACCTACTTAAAGGTGCTGAAAGTGGCTCGATTCCACTGCAAGAGGATAGACATTATCACCATGCAGACGCTGGTGCTGCTTGTAGACATACACCCCAGGTAAATCACTCATACTTGCCTGCTTACTGATGACTTGTGCTTGTGTCTAATGCATACTCATATACTGCTGATGGCCCCAATTTTCATACCTACAGCTAAAACTTGGACACACACTCCATATTTACAAAGCAACACTTGTGCTTGTGTCTAATGCATTCTCATACGGTGCTGATATTCCTAATTTTCATACCTACACCTACAGCTAAAACTTGGAAACACACCCCACATTTTCAAAGCATCACTTGTGACTAATGCATACTCATTTACTGCTGATGGTGCCAATTTTCATACCTACAGATAAAACTTGGAAACACATATTTACAAAGCATCACTTGTGCTTGTGTCTAATGCTGCCCATATACTGCTGGTGGTGCCCATTTTCATACCAACCTATAAATAAATATTTAAAGGGATTTACAGTTTAGGGATATGTGCTATACACCTTCTCTCTAGACCAGCTGTTCTCAACCAAGATTCTTTGGAATCCTAGGGTTCCTCTAGAGGTTTTTAGGGGTTCCTTGAGTTGTGGCTAATTGACCTTCCATCTGATTTTGCCTGCGTAGTTCCAGGTCCAATGCCACCTGGCACAGCCAGTGGAATGGCACCAATGATCTCTTTAGTTGACTGCAAGGGTAGCATTCTGAACACCACTGTAAGGGGCGACATTCTTCTACTGGCCACCAATGTAATGTGCATTCCTGAGACCTGAAAAATATTTCAAGGGTTCCTATGGGGTGAAAATTGATTGATGAAGGCTGCTCTAGATAAATGCCTATATGTGCATATATAAAGAAAGCTAAAGTTTAGGTATATCTATATATCTAAACCATATATAACCCAACATTCTATCTATCTATCTATCTATCTATCTATCTATCTATCTATCTATCTATCTATCTATCTATCTATCTATCTATCGATCTATCTATCTATCTATCTATTTATATATATATTAAACATCAGTACATTCATACTTACATTTATACCTTTAAAGACATTTCACATTTCAAACAACAATGGGTAAAGTGCTGTCACCCAGATCAATCAGTCATTATTTGTTCCTTGTCGGGACTGGTCTACATTGATGACAGGTAAGGTGAAGATTACTGTAATATATTGATGACAGGAAAGGTGAAGATTACTGTTCTACTTTAATGACAGGTAAGATGACGATGATCGGTAGCTATGGGATGTTGCACTTTGTACATTATCATTGCACTTCACACCAAATAAGTCAAATATGTAATAATAATAGATCAACATAGAAAAAGGTGGGCAGTTACCATTAGATTTCAGATTTAAGCTTTTATAAATGTAAAGTTGTGGTCAGAAAGATTGATGGCCTGCTAAACTGTATTATTTTTTTACACATGACTGTTTATATTGTATTTTAAAGGCAATGATGTTATAACTAAACAGAGGGTGCCAAAGAGTAGATATGGAGATCCATGTTGGCAGAAATGATACAGCAGTTGCACTTTTTTAATGGACAAAAATGAATAACAGTATTATAAAGGTCAATACTGACTCATATATAGCCAGCAGAAATTACTTATTGGAATATATTTCACAGAAACACTAGTAATCATTTGTTGTATATTAATTACTGGCTCAGGATAGCAGCTGAAGCAAGATTAATATATACCACAGAGAAAATATTGGGCTCAAAATGAACAAAAGTTACAATCAAATCCATACATGTAAACACTATATCAAAGACAGAGGCTGTACACTATATATATATATATATATATATAGACTAGTATGTGCTATATTATACTTGCAAAATTATACAAAATTCAGTATTTTATTTAGTCTATAAAAAACATAAGCAGTAATTTTATTTGACATACAGTATGTTGCAATGGACCACCCCACAGTGTTCCTGAAGATTAATACAGCATCAAATGAGATTTAGCCCCACCTTCCTTTTCTTCTACAGCAGATCATTTATTTGCATACATTTAGATACTCGCCACCTTAGAATACCTTTAGATTAATATAACAATTTTAACATTTGCTACATATCATTTGGCTTCATCTTTCTGATTATGTTTATTTTGACATTAAAATTATCAGCTATGCAAACAGCATTTAATACATCTCTTCCATAGTTCCATAATGCTTAATGGATCTGCTCTGCCCCCATTGCAAATGTACAATTATGTATGCTAAGTGGGAACTGTAGGCTATTAATTGTTAATCTGCACTGCCATATGCACCTAAGGACATGAAGCCAAAGAAACTATATTGACTTAAAAATTGAATTTCTAAAAGAATAAGAAATCCTCTATTTAGTTGGGCACCCCCCCCACCCACCTATTATCGTGAAG